GTGAGCATAAGTATATCATGTTAGCAAGTTTCATCAAAAGTTGACGATGATCATTGAAAATTTTCTAGCAAAAAAATAAAAATCTAGAAATAACATGGTTTTTGCTAGTGCATTTTACTTCAGTTCAAATGTTTGTTATACGCGCAAAGTCAATGTGCGCGAGAGAAACATATGTGAAAATTAGTTATTACACATAATATAAAGGCAGACATGCCGCAATATCTTAATACCCGGCTACCGTGCTGATGGGCTAAATAGAATGTTCCTAAGCGATGCGCTCCCATTCCTGCATCCGAGGTGCAGATAGCGTCGCAGAAGCTTACAGCAAAGTCTTTATTTCGCGAGCGATCGTGCGGATTGATACGCATCACATATCTAATGGAGAAATTCACTGCGACTGTTTCCGGATGATAGGGCGAAAAGGATGTTGTAATTTCGACATAACAATAATTCAAATTATCGAATCTCAAAATATAGAGGTCGATGATGTGAGATTAGAAAGTAATTATAAAAGGTTAATATGCATATTTATAATGCTATAGAGGGCAAAGCTGGACAAGGTCTGCGGGTAATAAGGTTTACCAACGATATCTCAAAAACATGTAAAGTTAATAATTTTGTAACAACAATATTTGAAAGTAGAGGAAAAAAATGTAACTATCCATCACCTTGATTCCTACGACGTCTTTATTGGAAGATAAACAACAATGTTTGAAAATCCATAAAGAAAGCATTTTCTTCCGTTGTTTTTTGGTGGCAAGCACTGTGGTTTAGTTTACAATACCTCAAAATACATTTTTTAGAATACGTTATTTAATTCTTTTATAAGATATATTGTTATTTTTTAAGTTAGATTCAACAGTTTTTTATATAACCCTTATGAAAGCTTACATGTGGGTGAAGTAAAAAAGACCAACTGAACATATACCCTGGCAAAGGTGTTGACATAAAAAAATAGTACCTAAAGAAGTAAATTATGTGAAAAAAGCAATATCACAAAAGTTAAATAGTTATTCCAATTCTGCTGACGAATATTTCTGACAAAAGACCAGATCAGATGTAAAAATGTACAAATGAAATTTATATTTTGCATTGGTTGAATAATGTAGCTTTCGTAATCCTTTTATGAAACATAGGATCTGTTTGCTCCTTGGCTATTTTATTTACCCCGCCTTTGGGGTAATACGAATTAGGTAAAAAACTGCACAAAATCACGTTTCTACAATAATGAATAAGCTGGGAGTTTTACTAAACATAGTCAGATAGTTGTTTATTTGATATGTGTCATTTGTTGCTATATAATTTGTTTGGTTTTCGCAATATACATAATTGCTGGAAGTCATATTGAACCTTCGTGTCTCGCTCTATTCTATATATATATATATATATATATATATATATATATATATATATATATATATAAAATAGTGTTTATGATTCATAAAATATGGTATTCTGGTGAAAGGGTTTGTTAACTGGCTTTTCACTTTCTATACCTTGCTTTGAAAATAACTTTAAAAGATATCAGCCGAAAGAGTTGCGGTTATGGCTTACGATTTACTATTTAAATATTGCAAATTATGACGAATTTGGAAATTTGGGCATCTAGCTTAGCTCTTCATTGGTTTTTTATGCTATGCGGTTTGATGCATGTGCAAATATCAATATCACATATTGTTTACCGTTAGAATTTGTTGGTGCAAGACGCTCCGGAATCATTATTAGTAGCTTTAAAATATTGACTATATATAATGAGTTGTATTGCCCAAGGGCAAGGTAGGTGCGTGAGCCAACTCGATCCAGGGAAAAACAGTGTGAAAAATTTCATATTGCGATTTCTCATCACAGTGCCCGAAATGGACTTATTTTTAATTGAAAACATATTTTGATCTAGATTTTCAAGTAAAAATGGAGATCGCTGCTGCCCGATGTAAATTATCAGAGCGGGGGTTTGAACTCGCGATTCTGGCCATAAGAGGTAGAGGGCTTTAGTCGACTTCGCCACAGCGCACACAACATTGACTATATACATTACTTAAAAATTATTAAGTAAATCTCTTACATTTACTGTTGTTTTGATATTAACAATGTGTAAACAGTTGTTAAAAACATATAGGAGTTATAAAATGATTTGAGTAAAGTTTTTTTTATTAGGAATTAAATAGTTATTTCAGTAACAGTTTTTCATTATTAAATCTTACCGGAAGAGGTTAATTCTATGATTCTATGATTCTACACGTATCATCATAGAATAAAGAAATATAAAAAATCTTATGCTAAGTTGATTAAAACTAACTGAAATAGCACAAAACAAAATTACCTAATTTTAAAAAGGGCGAATCCGACAAATGTTAAATATTAGACCATATTGAAAATCTAAACCGACAGAACTTAATCTCATACAAATGTTTAATAAAATCCGGTCCTAGCGTTTACAAGTTCAATATCTGTGTATTTGTGTGTGCATTTGAATCGTGGATCGTGGGTTATTCGGATATCAATTACCCGGGTTTGTTTTTATTCCATTTCTAGTTCTGTGATTTTTTCACAGTACATACTTCATTTCGGGGGTGCTACGTACGTATGTTAGTAGGTACCGCTAGGCGGTAGTGGATGAGATAGCTGACACATACCGCACAGGTATGACACCGTCGTAGGGAGAGCATCCTCCGAACGGTGTGCAGCATGGGTCAGTGACGTAGCGAGAGTCGTTTTGGGGGGTGTGAGTGAAGACGGGCGGCGTAAGACTGCGTATGTGTGTGTTCGGCACGATGCTATGACGCGTTCCGCAAAGTCTCAGCACGCGCGAATCAATACACGGGCCAACGGCGACTCGCACAGATTCCCAGGGAGCGAGAGCGCGCAATCGCACCGCCCCGACCGATGTTGGCAAAGTTACCCGTACCCCGGCATCGCACGCTGTGCTCTCTCTCACATCTCGATGAGGTAGAGTTTGAACCGACTGGAGCTGACTGCAAGAGCACAAACTCTTATGACGCTTCCGAAGCGCTCTCTCTCGGGGTATGCATGTGATGATAAAGTGCACGATAGTAAACACCAGGCTGTTGTTTTCGATTGACACACTTTCATACACATTTTTCATTCTATATTTATGGAAACGAGTTGATATAATGACAACACGTATACTAAATTGTATTAAGATACGGTATGATGTATTCTAAAACCATTATCATCTGCGGATGAAATATCTACAAATCATAAAAGCATTGTTAGAAACAAAATATATACATGTATGTACAAAAATAACATACTACCTGCACAAAATCAATAACTTTTACCTTGGACATATTCAAAATTCCAAAATAAATATTCAACATTCAGCTGCCTACGCTCGTTGAAAAATCTGTCATACATTATTTTTCTATTCTCGCACGGTCTCCATCCAATATTTATTTTCTTAATAAAAATTCCTACATAGCAATGCCTACTGCTACGGCATCCGCACCGTTATTATTATTATTATTAAAATCTGTGGTCCGGACTGGGCCTAACCCGTCCATGGCGCAGAGGGCTGGGGATGCTGTTGAGGGTGGCAGGTCAGCGAGTCGCCCGATGAGCACAAAACCCGACACGCACCGAAACATCGGTGACGTAACAAACTGAGCGAGCCAAGAACAAGAAGAAACAGAGATGGATGTCACGGAAGTCGTAACGGACGCACGTCCCGACGACGGACTATAGTCGGATCTTGTGCGGTTAACCGAAGAGACGTAGGTCGTAGATATCGTACTCCGAGGCACACTGTGTTTTGGGCAATATATACATCCATAGAATACATAAATGCATATACCTATACCAGTCGCACGAACGCAGCGAGAGGACGATTCCGGAGAAAGCATACAAAGCGCCAGCACGCCGCGATGAGAAACATCCAGCGTAGACGCGCATGCTATGTTATTTGCTCCGGAACGTAGAGATGCCAATTGTAAATTCGATTTCACGTGTTAGATAATTTAATGCTTTGGTTACTATTATATTTAACTCCTTACTTATAATTTTTGAAATATTATTGTATAGAACTTCTTACTATAGTGTTGAAAAATATTATTGTATAGAAACAGTACTTTAAAAATAAAGTAAGAGTATTTTAATTTTTATATTTTTAAATATTTTACAGTAACCATGACCATGTTCGTATATAATAATGAAACTATAAGTGAAATACATATCAAATATTTTGGTGGTATAGAATTATTAAGTACCACGTTTTTATTAAAATGCATTAATTTATTGATAGAACCATATTTGACAAAAAACAATTGTTAGTAATATTTATTTGGTGTCAACTATTGTAAATGTAATTTTGAAAACCATCCGTTACAAAACAGAACTGATTTATGTTTTAAACCGTGCGCAATGAAATCATTTGTTAATAACGCGTTGTTTCATTGGGTACATTATGATTACAATATTGGCGTGCGACTGCAATAAACACTGAGCTAATTATGCAGTTGGCGATAAATAAACGTTGCATATGGCAAACAACGATAATCCGTCAAGCACGCGGATTATTTTTGAAGGCGAGGGCATCACTAGAGAAGGTTTGGGGTTACGCCGCGCTTGCGTGGTGTAGTGCGCACGGGGTGCCGCCCGTATGCTCGTACGCCCGTATGTACTGTTGTGTAGCGACCCCGGGATAGTCAGACTCACAACGTACACCTTCGGCACACGTAACAAACGTCAACTGTCAACTGTTTCGAACACGCGCGCGTTCTGTCGTCCGATAGGTACTGATTTGATTTCAATTGTAGAGACATATTTTGACAAATTTGGACACTGACAGCTCTGCGTACGTAAAGTTCGTTTAAAAACTTTGTTCGATAAGTATTACAAGCGCCTATAAAGCAAGTTGGAAATAAATTTGCTGCAAACTGAAATAAACCAGACGATCAAGTCGTCACGGTGTGCACCTATCATATTATTATTAATTGTGTGTGAAATGTCCGTCAAGGACATGTAACATCGAGCCCCAAATGAAGAATCCGGGCCGTCGGTGAGATGCGCCAGGGGCGGCTGGTGTAGCGGGGGCATGGCGGCGCTGACTCGCGCAACCATGGGGGCCCTCCTGCTGGCCCTCAGTCCGGCCCTGTTGCTGATATGGCTACCGTACGCGGATGCCGCGTGAGTCTCAATAACACAATTAAATCATCAAAATCATCATCATCAACATTATCACAATCAGCAGTACTCAACATTAATCTTCATCTCATTAACATGCTCCGCAATGTGTATGTTACAATCATTGTTCTGTGTTTGTGTTGTGTCCGTCGCAAATTCATTACAAAATCATATCTGCGATTGCGAGCTCCAGTGAAATATTCGTTATTCGGGCAACGATGTGTGGAATGTTGCAATATTTCACTACGCAGACAATAATCGTATTTGCTTAACATCCATCACTGTCAATTGTCATGTCAACAGTTTACCCAATATGCATTCTATGTTTTTAATATCATATTACATTGTAAAAACTTCAACACTTTGCACTCATCGCATTCATTTTCATTAATTATTCATTTTGCATGTTCATGTAGTTCAGAATAGACTATAATAAAATGTAGTTCAGTCTAGAAGTATCAGAACAAATTTCACCGGAATATGAATCATTATTATAACTTGGTGTTGATGTTAAATGTTTAAAACAAGAATAAGTAATCAAATGGTCTCTTTAAAGATTAAATTAAATCAATCAACCTGTTACAGAACCAATTCGTCGATGTTTCTTGTATTTAATTCACTACATATTTAAAATGTTGTAATTCTATAAATTTCACAATATAATATAAATAGAAATACGATTGCAACGTCCGATTTATATTGAACATTTCGTAATGCAAGTATATATATATATATATATATATATATATATATATATATATATATATGGGCGTATCCCGTAAATAAGATGAAAGCCTCTAGTTTCAATAATCCTTATTAACTTATCAACGTAGCATTAACAAACGTAACATTAACACTAACAAATGACATTGTTGGAAATCAGACAAAGATAAACTCTTGTGTAGAAAAAGGCGTTGCTCTCAGAAATTATGAATCTCGTTACAGTCATTTTTGACGTTTATGAATTAAATTTGGAAAATCTAATCTTTTACGATGAAAGCAATAAATTCACTTTATTGTATATGGAAATATATATGGAGAAGCAAGAACAAATTTTCGTTGAAATTACATAATGAGGTTTATTAATGCACATTATATGACGGCATTTCATACAAGTCCCACCGGAATATATACACGTTGTGAGCTTTATAATAATCTCTTGATTCAAACTTAATAATTCAATCGGCGTTAAGGATTCGAGTCTACGTAACGAGCAGAGGCGCGGTGCGTGCTACTGTCTTGTACGAGATTATAACATATCAACATATGCTTTTCTCAGTCTATGTATTCCAAGTATACAAACGTGTCCCAAGGCCCTGTGTATCTGTCAATGCTGTCAATAGCGACAAGTAAGCTGTATGTTGCGGTGTTCAACGGAAACTCGAAAATTTTGGGAGCGCCGTCGCATCTTGAGCTGATCACGTTTAATTCGATTATTTAGAGTTTATGACGTGTAATAATAATTATATTAATAAAATCAACATTAATAATGAAATTTTCATAATAAATAAAAATGACTTTATTTAAATACAAAAATCATCAATTCAATGTAATAAAGCAAAACGTGCCCGTGTAATTTCCAAATTAACATGAATTTAAAATAAATTTAAAACATTTACTTCATACATTATGAAAATATCATCATTTTAAAATTTATAATTTTTATTTAATAGTCATTAAAATCTGAACTGAACCACAAAACATTTTCAGTAAAAAGAAATGTTATTCGAAGTAATGTAGTTTAAACTTTTTTTTTGAATATAATTTTATTTTTAATTTACAAATTAAGTTCTGATATTTATTCTAGTAGTCATATGTTAAATTTAAGATTTTCTTGCAAAATATTTCACGTATAAATAAATATTTTGTATAATTGTTTGATATTAAATAAGCCCGAAAACAAATAAAAAGTAACTAAAGTAAAAGTAAATAAGAAAAATATAATTAATTTTAAGAAACAATACCACGGTAAAATGATTCTTTAGGCACGTGATCTTGATGTATGAAGGCTGAACATATAGAAAAGAGAATGAGACACAAAGGTCCAATTTGATTTTGAGCAATTATATTGTGAAAACCGAACCAATTGTATTATAATAAATAGCATATATCAAACAAACAACTATCTGACTATGTTCAGTAAAACTCCCAGCTAATTCATCATTGTAGAAATTTGTTTTTCAAAAATTTCTCCCCTTGGCCTTTCTACCTTATAGAAAGGATAAAATTAGACGACCAGGGGAAACAGATACATTGTTTTAAACTTAAAGAAGATATATTAAACTTAAGAAGAATTTCACTAAATTATAGCTACATTTAAATAACAAAGGCTTAGAAAATATGTTAAGATCTCGTGAACTAAACGACAGTGCTCACGACCCAAAAAAATAACTAACAACGGAAGAAAATTCTATTAGTATGGAGTTTCAAACATTGTCATTTATCTCCCGATCTCTTGTCCTCTAGTTTCAAATATTTTTGTTAAAAAATTATTAACTTTACTACTTGTTTTTGATATATCGGTGTTGAACCTTTCTACCTGCGCATCTTTAAATCCCGCTCTTCTCTATAGAAGAAGAATTTAATATGGCAATACTAGTCGTGTTTGTACAAAGTTCATAGTTAGAACAAGTTATTATTTTATTAAACAATATTTTGTGAAGATATAATAACAAACACGTTTCAGTAAGAAGACTTCTAAATTGTTAAAAATGTGTGCTTATCTATTACTTATATATCGAAGTAATCTATCCTCTACTTCAGTTACCAAAAAACTTTCTCTCAGCTACATCTAACCATTTCTTGCGAGTTCTCTACGAACACAATTCTCTCATAAAACGCAATTTCGGATGCATAAATCACGGCCATCGTTGTACATTTCCAGTATGAACAACTCCATTTCGGAGCGAGACCGACAATGAAATACATTATGAACGACTGGTAGCCATATGCTATCAGGAGTTGTGATAAAATATGCAACGGCAATAGTGTTTTAGACGTAATCTAAGCAAGATTCGCGAATGAACAGCAATTTAGTTGATTTCTCTCCGCTCGCCGCTTTGCCGCACGGTAATTCTGTTGTCGGAAGTAGAACCTTGAGCAACTCATCATCTGGAATCTCCAAATATTCAGCAACGATCCTCGAAAATAGAAGTATAATCCGATCAATTGATAAAAAAATATTAGACACTAAATACTGAAAAAAGTTTCTTTAAGTTATACTGATTAGTTATGATATATCATCATAATTTTGGTCAGTCTCAAACATAAATTATAACTATATTTTTTACACAATGATCAATTTTGTTCTTATTTTTGTTATCTTACTTATTATGAAAAGTCCTAGCGGTGTATCTACTAGGAACAGATTTAAGAAAAATAATTAAATGTTTTTAATAATTCTTAAAGTCTTAGCCTGGTTCCGGCTGTAATTGTAATTATTAAATTTGATTTAACTATAATAATAAATTGTAAATTCAAGAATTTTAAAAATAAGTTTGCACATGTATCAACTTTTTTATTAATAACACATAAGAAACTTCATTGCCACAAATGTATAAATATTTAAAAAGTTTTCATTACTACAATTCTAAGTAAGTACAATTCTAAGTTAGATAACTGATGCATTTATCTCCGGACTGACGATTTTCACAAATTCTGGCTGAAATCAAGTAAGATAAGGGATGGCCACCTCTTTTATTTTTTGAGTCAATTTTCATTTTTTTCTTACACGTGTACAAAAAATAAATATAACCCTAAATTTTCGCTCTCTTACGACAAACTTCTATTTCGTAAGTATTATTATTGAGATGAAAAAATATGTAATTACTATAATAATTCATACAGAATAAATTATTATTTTTTACCATAATAACTATACATGTAACAAAAAGCCATTTATGTCCAAATTTTAAATTATATTAGCTAGTTATTTATATGACAATAATTTTAATTCAATGTATTTGCAAATTTATTGCTTGCTGAGAAATCCAGATTGCATTTAAACTTAAAAACAATTATGTTGTCAACTTTTTGTGAAATAATCAATAATTCTTATTTTATCAGAAATCAAATTCTCAGATATAGCAATATAGCAGATAGATATAGAACTGTAATAACAGCGTATCAAAAAAGTTGTCAGATCACGTGCATAAAAGAATTTTGAAAAAAATCTTAAAAACTTCTTGTAAGCTAAATTGACCAGTAAAAATCCATCTTATAAAGAAAGAATGGCATCAAGAAAATGTTTACTATTAAAAAAACGTAAATTTTATTAATAATGGGTAGTACCTCCCTAGAATAGACCCGACTTCAGCTGGATTCAAGAAAAAATAGTGTGAGAAATTTTTCATTGCTATTTCACATCGCAGTGCTTAAAATGAGTTATTTTTAACTATAAACATATTTTTGAATCATATTTCCAACTAAAAATAGATACCGTATGGCATCAAGAAAATGTTTACTATTAAAAAAACGTAAATTTTATTAATAATGGGTAGTACTGCCCTAGGACAGGTCCGACTCCAGCTGGATACAGAAAAAAATAGTGTGAGAGACTTCTCATTGCCATTTCACATCGCAGTGCCCGAAATGAGTAGGGTAGGGCGGGGCTAGTTGAGCAATTTTTTACTTAAACCGATGTAGCTCCTCAATGAAAAGTCTAAATAAATTGCTATACGGCTTAATGGATTTGCTATATATCGCTTAACAAAAGTGTTGATACTATTTTTTGGTAATAAGTAAAATTTAAAAGCTACAGCTGTTTAAATGCAAAAAATCAAGTATGCTCAATGTACCCCATAGGTGGGGCAAGTTGAGCACTAAGAAAGTATAATGAAATCATAGGTTCAATGTCGATTAGTGATGAAATAAAATAAGTTTTTAATAACCAGTTCTATATTTATAGTCTTTATTGACAGAAAAAACAAAACTTATAGTTATTTGCTTTGAATAATTAACGAAAAGCAGAATCAACAAAACAATATCGTATCTTTGGAATAATT